TCATTGCTATGACTGTATATTTGTTTAGTGGTTCAGGTCGTGTCAACTTCGGTTCATTCAAAAAGGAGGATTAGACTTGAACTTAAATTCACTTTGACCCGCGCAGCATTCTCAAACGTCTTGTGTGTACATATATCAGGCTCGTCGGGGCCCATACATGTATCTTAAACATCATTTTAAATGATATAGATATGTATGTCAACGTACTTATACAATATATTTCGTACGTTTGAAAATTCATTCATTATTTCTTTTAGTCCGCACAGCATCCTCAAATCTCATGTGTATACACGCAAGCTCATTAGGACCCATGCAATATTTTAAATTTGCATGATATGGATGCTCAACGGTTCATTTGTCTTCTTTTTTTTTTGTCTGCGCAACATCCTTAAATGTCATGTATATGTCACACTCGTCAATAAACATGCGGTTTGCATGCTTTTCAATGCATTTTGTATAATGTATTCATATATCAGATAATATATATACATGTCACATTATTGGATAATATATGTTGTGTGTCACATAATACATATACAGGATACATTTGATTTGTTCGGTGGTACATATGCATTGAGTATTTGAATGTTTAGTAATGCACTCGCACAACATATTTGAATGTCTTATAGTATGCTTATGCAATTTACATGCATGAGTTTCAATGCATTTTCACAACATTTCTATGAGTTTCATGATGCACTCACGCAACGCACTTGTATATTCATAACACTTGCGCGACATACTTCAATGTATTTTAGTGCACTTTTCATGATGCACTCACGCAATGCACTAGGTTCAAATCTCACCCCAGTCAAAGGCATTGGGTACTTTATACATTAGATGATTTATGTTTATGACATGATGACAAGCTTTATCATTTATTATTCATTGCATAATAATAATGATTATCCCATAACTACATATTATATAATTGCTTTAGGCTTCATTTGAGACAGCTTTTTAAAGCAGTTTTTTACTACAAAAAAATTTTATACTAAAAAGCTGCTTTAGAAAGAAGTAAGAAAGTTGTCTCAAATGAAACCTTAGAGTCAAAATATCTCAAAGCATTCCACCTTAGCACCATGTCTAATTTAAAATTATTTAGTTAATTGAATTATTTTCTTTTAAGAAATTGGAAAACCTCTTTTCTGATCAATATATTTATTTAAAACTCTTTGATAAGGTCAATCTTGATAGTTTTATCACAATCATTTAAGGATCACTACCATGACCACATAATACACATGTTAGGTCATATGATTCGCACTACTATAAATATTGTTAGAGTAGGCTATGGTGTAGTTATATTTTTGTTATAGTATCCTGATTTATTATATTCTTATTATAGGATATTATTATATATTGGCCATTATTATGCACACTAAAATAAGAGGCATGTAGGAGACGTTTCTTTTGGTGATTTAGCACATCTCACACACTTGATCGAGAAAGATGTACCACCCGTAACTTGCAATACTTCACGGGATGTACGACATATTCATGGGAATATGAATCTCCTTATTTTAGACAACTGACATGTAAATTATTTGGGGTAATTGCACACCCGTGACTTGCAATATGATTAATACTTTTAATTCATTATGGAACATTTAATTAAGATGATAATCATACATATGTTGTAGGCATCCCATGTGAAGATTATTAATGTAAGTGAATTTTCATAGGAACGCAAATAATTTTTTTGATTTTACCCCCTTAGAGTAATTATTACATGTATTTGGAGATATTTATGCTCATATTTTACTAGCTTGTGAATACTCAATGACATAATGGAGAAAAAGGATTCATGTAGCCGACCCCACGTAGTGGGACAAAGGCTTGATGTTGTTGTTATTGTTGTTGCTGTGAATACTCAAGGAATCCAAAGAAAGTCTCAAAGTGACATCTTCACACATTTTAAACATGGATCCTAAGTCTATGGAGCCCGCAAATGTACCTTCCCTGTCTTTTAGCAAAAGAATCCTAAGCTGATAGAGAACCTGCAAATGTACATTCATTATTTTTAACAAAGGGATCTTAGGCTGGTGGGACCAGCAAATGTATGTTTCCTGTCATTTAGCAAAATGATCCTATGCTGGTGGGACCTACAACTGTACCTTCTCTATCTTTTAACAAAAAGTTTTGAAGGTTGCGAAGGAAAAGGGGCTGGTGAATAAGAAGTACCAAAGGCTATTTGTGATTGAGGCCATAAAAACCCCACTTAGAGAGTTGCCACCTCTGGTGACTAAAAGAAAATTGAAGTTAGCTCTGAAGGAAGCACAACGAGCGTGACAATTGGACCGCGTGTCGAAGAATCTACCGCTGAAAGGGCCCACTGAAAAGACAAATAAGTTTCGAAGCCAAGGCCTCATGAAAACATAATATTATAGAAGAAAGTATGGGCATGAAATCTAGTGTAGCCTCCCAGAGATCCGCCCCCAGTAATAAAAGCCATTAGAAATAAGTCCAGAAGGTCCCAATTGATAATTATTTCGCTAATCAACACGCTGGAGAATCCTCCAGGGAATCCCATGATCAGCTAACTATGTCATCTCAAGAAGAAGCTAGCTTCGATCGCAGCACGCGGATCGATGAGTTTCTTGTACCAAATAATGAGTCGTAGATCCAGTGGCGATGTCGCTTAGAGATCCGAATGCAAGAAGAAGAATATGGCAATCAATAGACCATGGATATTGATATAGTCTATATGGTGAGGCATGATAATGAGCAGCCACTTTTAAGAGTATAGCAGTGACAATATGGGGTTAGATCCATTACCGGTAGAGATGACGACTTCTAAGAGAAAAAAGAAGAAGAGGAATTTGAAGAGAATCCTTTGTTCGTTGATACTACTACACTAGCAGAAGCTCAAGACATGCGTACTTATCTCATGTGAATAAATTTTCTCGCTCGCTAATAAAAGCGGTTACGGGTACTTATCTCATGCAAACAAATTTTCCCACTCGCTAATAAAAACGGTCACGAGTACTTATATTCATGCATAGGAATTTCTCCTCTTGCTAATAAAAGTGATCATGAGTACTTATATTTCCCCGCTCGTTAATAAAAGTGGTCACAAGTATTTATATTTCATGCATAGGAAAATTATAAAATAGCTAGTGACGGGATTATATCTTAGATGCATAGCAACCGAGGTGGTGACGACAATACGACGGCAACAGTGATGCACGAGGCCTATAATACACCAATATTTTTTTATGATTATTATTTATTATATTTAATTATATGCGTTTTTTAAATAGGGGCTAGAGAGAGAAAGAGAGGGTACAACCTCTCATTCTAGAGAGAGAAAGATAGGGAAAGGGGATTTTGATGGAAATGTAGGAATATGGTAGTGATGATGAGTGTGATGTTAGCGAGAGAAAATCCTTCTCACTCCAAATTTAAAGAGAAAGAGATGAATTTTTTTCTCTCTAGGTTGAGGGAAGAGCATGAATGAGGGTGAGAGGTGGAGGTATTGAATGAGGTGTTTGAAGGGTAAAATTATAATTTTTTTCTCTTTCTAGAGAAAAGTTTTTCTCTCTAGATCTGGAGAGAGAAAGTGCAGGATAATGAGGCTTTTTGGTGGAGGTGTAAGAGGTGCCTGTGAAGGTTTTTAGTGAAGGTATATTGGTGGTTTGAGAGATAGAGATGGAGAAATCAAAAAACTGGGGTTAGGTTTTTTGGGTAGGCTTTGGGAAGGTAGTGATGAAGAAGAAGAATGAGATGAAGAAGAAGGAGAGAGAGGAGGGGGAGAAAGAGAGAAAAAATAAGAGAAAAATGGAGGAGAATGAAGAAGAATAAAAAAAAGTGAAAGGAGGAAAGGAGGAGAGAAGAGCAAGAAGCTTCAACCTAGAGTAGCCGGTGACGGTGGGAGCCTTAGCCGACGTTGGAGTTGGGCACGCACGAGAGAACCGAGAGAGGGAAAGATTGGTCAGGCAAGTGGGAGTCATGTGTGAGTTATGAGGGTGTGGGGTATTTTTGGATATAAATTTATTTAGATTTAATTAATTTCTCCTTTTTTTAAATCTCCCTCTTCTTTCTTTTTTTACTATTTATAATTTATTTTAATTAAAAAAAATTGATGTGATTTTTTTAATTGTGACTAGACTCGATCGTCAAGTCATTGTCGTCATTCGCGCACGTCAAAACTGCCTCAATTCACGCAGGTAAAATTTTAAATTTTCATCTATCAACAATCGCAATCAATATGGGTATCGATCTTAGTTATTTTCGTGGCTCCGAACGCACCGGCGTTTGTTTCGCAAACGGGAGCCATTTCAGCGATTTGGGCTTTTGGTCGATGTGCATCCAGTGAATTACGCGTGACGTCAGGCTCTTTTGCTTTCGAAAATGATAGTGCACGGTCGACCCAACCCCGACACTAGTATTAAGGTCAACAATTATGCCTTTTATGAGGAGCATGCAAGTCATTGAATCATCAGTAAGTCAACTGAAGGAACAGAGGCCTGTTGGGCATAATCAGATATCAATTCTCACATAACATAATGATACACAAAAGTCGCACACTTCTTACCCACTTCCCCCACCACCTTTCTTTACATGGGTTTTATCCATGCTAGTAAGAACCAATAAATTACAAGAAATAGAACAGTTGATAAGTGAAAGATATTTGATATCATGAATTGACTAAACCAACAACAAGCATGAATTGATACTATCAGAAAATCAACCAAAGTTCTCGACAGATGAATAGCTCTGATATAGGTAATCAATTTAGAAATATGATGAAATTGTTAAATGACTTTCTTAGAATACAAGCATGAAAAACCACACATCGTAGATGGACCTTGGGCTATTTTTTTTGGAGCATCGTAAAGCTTTCCATGATATTCCGAGCAAAAGCAAACTTTTCTTTTTTTAGAATAAATTGCAAAATATGTGGATCGAACCAGTGGTCTAGGTGAAACAACATTTTCATTAAACTAATGGGCCACGGATCCTTTCATGAAAAGAAAACTCTTGATAAATATACTCACATATCTCCTTTTGACATATATCGCTTGACTATCATCTCATTCTGTTGAGCATCTCTACCACTAATTATTAAAAAATTTTCACTGCTGATAAACCAGTTGAATTTCTCAAACCAGTGAACTTTGCGCATGTGAGAAATTGCAGCAACAGTCTTTTCCTGCAAAGCAAGCAAAAATTCCAGCGTTGCATGATAAAAATAAAATTATGGCTAATCAATGTTGACAAAAAGGTACTTCAGATTTGATAAGGGGCATCTTAATGCTTCGAACAGCCTCAATCATATCAAAATAAGGATCATGATAACATGTAATTTTATATTATCCATTCTCCTTAAACATTTTAATTACGATGACACATTATTAAAGAAAGAAAGCCCCTCTAGCTGAAAAGAACTGAAGAAAAGCAATACTCCAACAAAAAAGAGTAATACCTGAGCAAGCTGGAGACGTGTCTTCTTCTCAGCTGCTTTGAAAGCTTTCTCATGTGCTGTTAGAGTTTTTTCTTGTTTAAACTCCTGTTTTTTCTTAAGTTCGTACCAAGACCGAGCATTTGCATGAGCAGATAGTGCTAAATCGACTTCTACCTAAAAAATTCCATCATGGTATTAAAAAACTAACCAATAAACATTAACAATATTCCATTCAATCTTGTATTTAGATAGTCAGAAAAAATATATATATAAGGTGACAAGTAATCAGGTCTCAATTTAGAAACGTTCATAAAAAGGCAAGGCATCTATTTCTGTTCTGTTGTATAAAGCAATCCAAGAACATGGTTGGCTGTAACAACCACATTTGACCTTTAAAGGGTTACCTGGTTGGCTGTAACAACCACATTTGACCTTTAAAGGGTTACCTTGTCAACAGGGCAAGTTTTTTCATCTTCATCCATTTCATCCAAGTTGTTGCTCAGCAACAAAGTAATGCAATTTCTTTCAAGATGGAGTTTTTCAATGAGACCAGCAATAGGATTTCCAGCTTTCTTCTCTTCCTTCACCATACGTGCAAGGTCATCCCAAGTCATTCCTTTTGAAAGAGCAACACGAACAGCTAAGATGGCAGCATCAACATCTTCCAAGTTGTATTCAATTAATTCTGCCATCTTAATGGAATGGTCCACTTCTTTCTTCAGGGTAAGTACACGATTTTCCTGCACCAAAACACTCAGATGAAAACTTGTTTAGGTAATAGATCAGGAATAACTTTAAATGTAAATTCCACTGCATTAACAGGCCAAATACAAACATGAAACCTTTTAAGGAAAAGGCATACGCCAAGTTGATCAGCATTTGTTTTCTCTCTGTTTTTCAATCAGCTTCTCACACAAATAGTTGTATAACTAAAGAGTAACTAGTAATTCTGCAAATATAAAAACTCATCAAACAAGTTCAACAATCAACAGATTTACACCACAACCAACACCGTCAAGGCCACACCACAAATCAAATATCACGCACTGCACACGTCATGCATTATGTTAACCATATAACTAACATTGAGGGGACATACCTATATAACGTATAGAAGAAAGGTACCACACTCTTATTTTTAGCATGTTGTCACATGTTCCTTTGGTAATGCTGGTAGGCTCCAAAAATTCTTATATGACTCTTCTAAGAGAGTTCGGTGCTATGTCAAATTTTCAAAAGACAAATTAGATTATAGATAAAAAATTATTCCGAGATTTCACCCTCATTTTACGATAACTTTATGATCTAATTCTAGGTTTCTCATACATGTAAAACCCTATAATTAATTACCCCTCTTGGTTATAAAAGAGAACTTTTGATTAACGTTAATCGTTTGGTGCCAAGTGCTTAGCGTGTTTCAATTTTGATTTTGGGACTGAGGAAATTTATCACATTTTCATTTAAAACAAATGGTTGAGAAATTGATGACGAACTCTGATTAAAATTTCATGATTTTGTCAACCCGAAGTATCATGATCCTCGTTCTACTTAATCAGCAAAGTTAATCAACCAAACCTCACCGAAGTGGTTTGCTTTTCGAATCGGGGCATTTTGTTGATAATATCCCCTCCAATTGAGATTTTCTATCAAAGCTACAATCATTGAGGAATGATATGCGTATGATTTGTATTTGTAATTTAAAGGCCTAATTTTGAAATTGAACCCTTTTGATTATGATGTTCGATGATTACAACCATCATTGGAGATCAAATTCAAAGATTAACTTTATGAGCTCCCATATAAGTGGGTGGCCCAACATTTTATATTTTTCAAATGAATTTTCTTCATAGGAGGCTTTGAAGGACTAAAGCGAATGTAAAATCATATATTTTCATGAATTTTACAGTTGTATGATCATTCATGAATTTACTTAATTACAAATCATTATAGGATTTAAAATGGTTCTTTTATCATAACCTTAAAATGTATTGCTCAAGAATCCATCATGAGGTTTAAGTCTTATCAACTCCAGTCTTTATAAAGGAGAGGATCGAACTTAAAATATTAGACTTACAATTTTACCTTATAAATGAAGTAGCCCACTAGAGAACATGTACAAATTTTGATGAATTTTAGTTTGGATTTGAGAAAGTCTTATGAATTTTAAAATGATTGCCTACTTTTCAAAATGTTTGCATAGTTCTCAAAGGGGGGCAAAATTGGATGTCATATTTTATGGTCCATGCAACATTTAACTTTAATTTTAATCATTTATCACTTTTGTCGAAGGACATGCAAACATATTTATTTCCAAAAGTTTGGAGAAAAATTAGAGAGCTTGCATAGTGTACTTGTACATTTTTTTATACATTGGCATAGCACATTTTATGATTCACAATACATTTGCATGCTTTTACGAGAAATTACACATTTTTTAGTGCAGTTGCATGTTTTTTGCAGTAGGAGAATTTGAATTTATGTTATTTTCAGTCCGGGCAATTTTATCAAAGCATTTAGCATGTATGTCAGATAACATGCATACAAAATTACTTTTGATGATTTTACACATCTTGCACATCTTTTGGAACAACTACGCATAGAATAGTGACCTACACATCTCATTTCAAAAGAATTTTATTTATGGAAGCTTACTATCATTCACGAGAGCATACCATCATTTGAGGTGTGCATGGGTTGATTTTAGTGGTTGATGAGCACATCATTCAAGCACTTGGACAACCAGTGACATGTAATAAGGAGGTTCTATGCTAGCAAGCGACCTCTCAAGTTCATTACAAATCCTCTTCCTTGTTGACAAGCTTTCAAATTCAACATAAGTCCCCTGTAAGTCTAGTTCAAGTTCTCATTTTGTGTTCTATTTTGGTTCTTTCAAATTCTTCTAACAAAAATTGTATATCATTTTGACAGCTCATTTAATGTCATGTTATAATATTTTTTAAAATTTTTAGTAATATTTTTCTAAGTTCAATAAGTCGTTTGACTTTGTTTTGTTGTCCTGTCATTAGAAATTTCAATAGCATTCCAACGTAACTCCTGCGTAGGTGTTGGGGGGGAAATGTTGGGGTCTACTCATCATGCTAAGAAATATATGTATGGGTCATTTAAATACTACGGCCTTCTCTACTCCACTGTGCCAAGAAAGTTGCATATAGATAATAGAACTTTGCACATGCACAATAGTTTTTGCAAATAAAATTTCTTCACTGCATCAAAAAAGATATTTGCACCTGCACATCCCTTTCAAATTTTCATATGTGATCAATGGTTGAGATGCAAGTCAAGGTCTAATGGTGGCACAATAAGTGAGTCTTCTGTTGAAAAAGGGTTGACCTTATCAGAAAGAATATAAAATAGTTCCATATCCTAAGAGATTTGTTCCTCCTTCATTCACTAAATTTGATGGTATTGGCAATCCACACTAGTATTTAGCTTATTATAGAGCATTGTGCAATAACATTGGCAATAATGATGCTTTACTTTTATATTAATTTATGAAATTATTTTCTATATTTGACTTTCAGTGGTATGCAAACTTGCCAATTGAATCATTTAAAACTTTTGAAGAGCATGAAGAACTATTCATTAAGATGTTTGCTAGTTCTTGCATGGATACCATTATGCATCAAATTATTCATTATGAATCATTTCAAACTTTTGAATAGCATGAGGAACTATTCATTAAGATGTTTGTTGGTGCTTACATGGATGCCATTATGCCTACGGATGACCAGTCAGGTAATTAGAGGCATAGTTTGTGTTCCAGATGACAATAATTAAAAAAAAAAATTACATGAAGCAAATTACTCTAGCTATACTATTGAAGTATTCATCCAAGGAGTAACATGATATATCAAGACCTCAAAGGATTGTTTTTTTGTGGCTAGGACTTAAAAAAAAAAGTATAGCAGAATTTGTAAAGTGTCATACTTATCAAATGGCTAAAAATAAACATCAAAGGTCAAGTAGACTTTTACAACCCTAGCGACTACCAAAATAAAAATGAGGTGAAATAGCTATGAATTTTGTTATGGGCTAGCAAGGATAAGCAGTGACATTTTATGAGTTATTATTAATAGATTAACCAAATTTGTATATTCTTACCTATTATAAGGACTTATTCTATTGAGAAGTTAAAGTTATGTGTGGATAAGATTTTATAGTTGCATGAGGTGCCAAAATGTATAGTTTTAGATAAAGATAACAGCTTTACATCCAGTTTATTGAAAAAGATTCATGAAGGTTGCAGTATTAAACTCATCTTCAGTACTACATTTCACTACTCAAATTGATAGCCGGTCAAAAGGAACAATTTAGACATCATAGAAGATTTACTTAGACTCTGTGAGATGACTTTGTGGAGGCTAGAAACCACATGTACCACTAATATAATTTACTTATAATAACAATTTTCAAGCATCAGAATGGCATTGTAGGAAGTTTTCTATAAAATAAAATATAAGACATCATCATTATGCTGGCAGAAACAGGTAAAAGGAAAGTAATTGATCCTAACTGTTAGATGATACTACTGACAAGATTTGACTAATCTGGGATAGATTGAATGTTGTATAAGATATATGAAAAAAATATTATGTGTTAAACTCCGACCTCTAGAGTTGATGTTAGAGAATTTGTGTTTATTAAAGTCAGTTCAATGAAGGAATGACATTTTGGTAAGACTGGTAAGCTAAGCCCGGGATCGTATGAAGCTATTGAAAGAATTGGGAAGTTGGTTTATAGACTAGCATTACCAGCAAACAAATATTCTTCCATTTTGAAAATATATAGCTGATGAGTCTAGTAGGGCTGTCACAAATTCCATAAATATATTAATATACAACCTGATAAGACATATATGAAGTACCAAAGAGAACATTGAACTGCAATGTAAAACGACTTTGTAATCAAAATATTTCATTTGCACAAATTTTATGGAAACATGGAACAAAAAGATATGTTACAAGAAGATGAAATCAGAATAGTGAGAATGTTATCAATATTTTTTCAATTAAGGTGTGATTGCTCTTATCACATTGTTTAAATTTTCAGGAAGAATTTTTATAATGAAAGATTGTAAAAGTCTGTAAGGAATCTAATAAAATAATATGCGAGGCAAAGAATTAAGCTTTTAGTGATTTATATAATAGATTAGATACTAAGGAGGACAAAAATATATGTATAAGTTGGCCAAACAAAGAGAGGAAAAGGATTTAGTTCAAGTGAAATGGATTAAGGATGAAGATAAAAAGGTATTTTTATTAAAAGAGGATGTTCAACAAAAGTGGATGAAGTATTTTGAAAAGCTTTTCAATGAAGATTGTGAGAATATTATTAAATTTAGTGACCTTAGCACCCCAAATGAAAATAAAAATATTTATTTTTATCAGCGTATTAGTAAAATCGGAGAAATAGAGACTTTAAAGAAAATAAAGTGTGAAAAAGCTATTGCATCTAATGATATTCTAATCGAGGTGTGAAAATGCTTAGGAGATGTAGGAATTTTTTGGCTTACAAAAATTTTCAATACTACTTTGAAGACTAAAAAGATGTCAGATGAGTTGAGTGTGCTGATTCATATTTTTAAAAATAAAGGTAATGCACAAGAGTGAGAATTATGGAGGAATTAAGTTAATGTGTCATACTTGAAAAATATGGGAAAGAGTTATTGAGCGTAGTTACGACGTGATACTGTTTCTCAAAATCAATTTGGATTCATGCCAAGTAGGTCTACTATGAAAGCTATACATTTATTAAGAGGTTTGATGGAGAAAAGTAGAAATAGTAAGGAGGATCTACATATGATATTTATTGATTTAGAGAAAACATATAATAAAGTTGTAAGAGATGTGCTCTGGAGAGTTTTAGAAAAGGAAATGGTTAATAATGCTTATATTCAAGTCATCAATGATATGCATGCAAGAACTATTACTTGTGTTCAAACACAAGGTGGTTTGACAAGTTTTTCCTATTTCAATTGGATTACATCAAGGATCAGTTTTAAGCTCATATCTTTTTGCTTTATTCATAGATGTTCTTACTAGGCATTTGCAAGAGGATGTACTATAGTATAAGCTTTTTGCTAATGATATTCTTTTTGTTGCTAAGACTAGAGAGTGAGTTAAAGGTAAACTTGATGGAGGTCAACTTTAGAGTAAATGTTTTCATTTGAGTGGATCTAAAACTGAATACATAGAACGTAATTTTAGTAGTAATAGATCTAGTGGGGGACTATGAATTTGGACGATCAAGTAATTAATAATAGTGCACCTTTTAGATATCTCGAGACTATTGTTCAAAGTGATAAGAAATAGATGGAGATATTATTAGTAGAATTAATGTTGGATGGTTGAAGTAAAGGAATGCATCAGGCCTATTGTGTGATAAAAAAGTACCCCTCAAACTTAAGAGAAAATTCTACACTTTGGTGGTGAGACCTGCAATGCTTTATGACCCAAAATTTTGGCCATTAAAAGAGAAGCATAAAATTAAGCTAAGTGTTACAGAGATCAGGATGCTCAGGTGGATGAGTGGCTTCACTTTTATGGACAAAATGCTAAACAAGTATATTTATGAAAAGGTGGAGTAGCTCCAATGGAAGATAAGATTAGAGAGAGTCTTCTTAGATGACTAGGTAACATAAAGCATCACTCTTCTGATGACCTGGTTAGGAGAGTAGATATATTAGATTCGGCCTATGTTAAGAAAGGTATAGGTAGACTAAAAAGGCTTGGTTAGAAATTATTAGAAATGAACTTTGTTTATTAGATTTAAATATGAATTTGACTCTTAACATGACACAATGGCAAAAAAGGATTCATGTAGCCGACCCCACATAGTGAGATAAAGGCTTGATGTTGTTGAAGATTGTAAAAGTCATTTCATTAAAAATATATCAATAGAAAGATTGAACCAACAACATCAATTCAATTGAACCAACATGTCAATTCCACCTTCAATTAAGAGAGGTGAAGCGGGAAAAAGAGAGCATGAGACAGAGAGCAAATAAGTGTATATAAGAGAGGAAACGAGGGAGACTAAGAGTCAAAAGGAGACAAACAACAAAGGAGATTGAGTATTTGTTATAGTTCTTGAGAGACAAACGAGGCATTTGAATGGTAAATAAGAAGAGAACGAGGAATTATTTTTTTATAAACTCAATTAAAATCTTAAATATAATTACTATTTCCTAAAATAAATTGTTAAGGATTTGATGCAATGAAGAATAATATATCAAAAGAGCAGGAGAAAATTTAGTGATTTTACAAAGGAAGAAAGAAGGGAAATACTTGAGTAATGTATTTAAAAAGAAAATTTTAGAATTTATTTTAATTAAATGAAATCTAAAATTTAAGATATTATTCAAAAATTCACTTTCTTCAAATGGGGAGGAATTATATGGTTGAATGAAAAAAGTTTATTAGTAATGCAATTAAGTTATAATATATATATATATATATAACTAATTAACATGGGTATGCCATTTGAATGATTATAGGCATTCAACTAAAAGAGGTGGAGTTTTAAGGATTAAAGAACAAATGAAACTTATCTAAGGTTAAGATGGGCACACTTATTTCTATATTATAGTGCATATATGTTTCTTCTAAATTAAAGGCATAAATTGATACTGAAATTAGCCAATCAAATGTTATTACAAGTTGTTTATGATAATCTAATACCCTTGAAAGTATTGATCATGTTGAAAAGAACATATGTTTTTTGTCAAATTTAAATTATTTATCTTATGTAGTGTTTCTTGTGGATAAATATTGAATACTACCAAACATGTACATGAAAAAAAAAAAAAACTTGGCAGAAATACTTGTATGAGCATGTTGACTGATAGAGTTCACCCTTCTATGATATAAACAAAGGATGCTAAGGAAACCACACAAAACATAATGGCTTATCCTCAGGTTTAAAAATGGATATTGTTATTGAAGTACCTTACATGATACAAGTAGATAATGCTACTCTGACAGTTCTATTATACAATAAAAATAAAACAGAAAAGATAAGACATGATATGGTTTCTTGCTTATTCATATTACTATTGTACAAATGATTGCTTCAATACCTTTATCATTGTCATCTTGTAATAGAATAAATTGCTGAAAGAGATTTATCGACTCGACAAGCAGACTATTATTTTCTAAGTACTTCTATGCTAATATAACTTTGAGATGTGATTTATCCACTGAGTTTTGTTGATAACTCAAAATAATTCTTCGCAATTATATATAGGACAAAATCTAGAGCATTTCATTAATGGGAAAAGAGATTTTGCATATCGCTAACGTGGAACAAGAAGTGAACAATATTTATATTATTTGAAAGATTAGCAACCAACAACATCATTGTTGTATTTTGGTTTAGAATGACTATGAATTAGCAACTTCTTCAATATATTCGATAATGATCTTATTAAAATATTTTTTAATACTTCTTTTAAAATTATTGATAATGTACAGTATTTAAATTTTCGTCTGACAGTCTTTTCCAACCTTAACATTCCTAGCTCCCAAGCCACGTCGTGACATATATATATATATATGAAATCGCCAACAACTTAAAAAATTCACTGAATGTGATTATTTGCTTATCATAGACATAAAAGCAAAGTTGCATGTTCTTAAACGAACACTAGCGTGGTAGTTGGAAGCATACATACCCATGTAAATGAAAAGTATGCATGTAAATTCATGCAAGAAAAAATACACAAATGTTTCAATACGACCAAGTGATTTTATAATTCAAAATATTCTTGTATTCTATTCTACTTAACATCCGACATATTTATAATAATCATATTTGTATTTTAACTGTGATTTATAGTCATCAAGCACATCCAAAGTAATTCATGTAATACCCGTTATCATTTCCAATTTGCTGTCTAATGCGGCAACTGCAGATACTCATTGCATAGCTGAAAATAACAAAAGAGTATAGGCTTATGCAGATACCATGTGGTCAACCAGTGCGTTATAGCCATATCATGCCATCTATGGACAACAAAATGAGTCATAAAAGACCCATGCATTGTAAGTGCATCATAGCAGGCCCATATAGGGCCAAGGCCCAATGCTATTTATTAACTAGTTGTTACATATATCATTAGCCAGAGGACAAGCTATGGTTTAAAAACTAAATGGAAGAGATAGTTACAAAAAAGATAGTCATATCGAACAAAATCCTATCACAGACGAGTTTCTTCTCGGGAGACAATGATATCAGCAGTATAATTACACTTACCCTGAAAAGAAGTACAAAAAATTTATCTTAAGTTATTTGAATGATGTACTATTTTTTTGAAGTAAAAAAATGCACAACAAAAAAGCTTCACTCTCAAAGGAAAGCTATGGAAACATTAATGTTGCATTAGTACTAAAAATATACAATGCTCTTCCCAACTTGACTGCAGCCGGCAATGCTGTTTGACTACCAAGGTAAGAAAAAGAAAATAACCTGATCCAAGCGTATCTTGTTTAGCTTTTGCATGGCCGAGCCCTCCTTTGACCTCTGCTGCTGTTCTGATCTTTGGCTTTCGATCTTACTATAAAATTCATCTAATGCGGCATCAAATGTTTCAAATTTCATGCACTCTCGTGACTTGAATTGATTCAACAAAATGGGGCAAAACTCATCATAAATCTGCAAATTTAACCAAAATATAGAACAGATCAATGTTGGTTTAACCGATGGTATTAACCGAAGCAAAAGAAGCTACTAAAAACCATACAAACTTAGTATGCAATGCTGACAAAAATAGATCAAAATATAATTGATAAACAAGATAAAATAACTCAGAAGGCTAGTTTGAAAATATCCCTTGCAAGTAAAATTCTATTATAGCTTGAAACTTAAATTGCTGCCTGTTCCTTTCCATAACTAACTTTTGATATCTCTAGTTTGATTTGACTCCCTGAATTAAAGAAAAAATAAAAACTTCATAGCCGAGAAACCAATACCCACGTTGATATACAATGCTCTAGCGTTTAGGGTCAAATAAGGATATAAGAAGTGGTACAAAGTTAGATGCAATAAATTTGTGTAAAAAAACATGCACATTTTGAGGGAAAACAAGTTATCAGTCTTAAAAACTGCTTACTACTTCAATAAAAGCAGAAAACGTTTAAAATCCAATCTGGACAAAACGAAATTGCATTTCTATAAGAAATTACATCAACAAAAACAACATCAAGCCTTTATCTCACAACGTGGGATCAGCTATATGAATCCTTTTTCTACATTATGTCATGTTAAGAGTCAAATTCTCATTTAAATCTAATAAAAAGTCATTTCAAATATTTTATAACCAAATCTTTTTAGGTCTACCTCTACATTTGTTAATGTAGGTCAAATCTAATACATCTACTCTCATGACAATGTCATCGGAAGGCCGACATTTTATGTGACCAAACAATTTAAGACGACTCTATCTAATCTTATTTTCCATTGGAGTTACTCCAACCTTTTCACGTATATGCTCATTTCGCATTCTGTCTCTAAGAGTACAGCCACTCGTCCACATGAGGATCCTCATCTTTGCAACAATTTACTTAATTTTATGTTTCTCTTTTAATGGTCAGCATTCTACGCCATAAAGCATTGCAAGTCTCACCGCCATCTAATAGAATTTTCTCACAAGGAGGGGTACTTTTCTATCACAGAACAAACCTAATGCATTCCTCCACTTCAAGCATCCAATTTGAATTCTACTAATAATATCCCCATCTATTTCACCATCACTCAAAACAATAGATCCGAGATATCTAAAACGTAATGACTTGATCGCCCAAAGTCACAATCCCCTTACTAGATCTGTTACTACTAAAATTACACTCCATGCATTATGTTTTAGATCTACTCAAACAAAAATCTTTATACTCTAAGGTTGACCTCCATAATTCAAATTTACCTTTAACTCCCTCTCTAGTCTTATCAACAAGAAGAATATCATCAGCAAAAAGCATATACCTGGATACATCCCCTTGCAAAGGTCTAGTAAAAGCATCTATGACTAAAGCAAAAATATATGGGCATAAAGCTGATACTTGATGTAATATAATTGAATAAGGAAAATACTTGGTCAAACTACCTTGTGTTTGAACACAAGTAACATCTTTTGCATACATATTGTTAATGACTTGAATATAAGTATTACTAACCCATTTCTTTTCTAGAACTCTCCATAGCACTTCTCTTGGAACTTTACCATATGCTTTCTCTAAATCAATCAATATCATATGATATTCTTCTTATTCTCTTTACACTTCTCCATCAAACCTCTCAATAAATGTATAGCTTCCATAGTAGGCCTACCTCGCATGAATCTAAATTGATTTTGAGAAACATTATATCACGTCATAACCTAAGCTCAATAACTCTCTCCCATAGTTTTAAAATATGACACATTAATTTAATTCTTCTATAATTTACACACTATTGTGCATCACCTTTATTTTTTAAAATATAATCAATACACTCCACTCATCTCGCATCTATTTAGTCTTCAAAATAATATTAAAATGTTTCGTAAACCAAAAAATTCCATCATCTCCTAAAGCATTTTCACATCTCAATTGGAATATCGTCAGGTCCAGCAGCTTTTCCACACTTTATTTTCTTTAAGGCCTCTCTAACTTCAATTTTACTAATACGTCAAAAAAAATAAAAATTTATATTTTCATTTAAGGTGCTAAATTTACTAAAGTCAATCGTATTCTCACAATCTTCATTGAAAAGCTTATCAAAATATATCATCCATCTTTGTTAAATATCATTTTCTAATAAAATCATTTTTTATCTTCATTCTTAATGCACTTACTTGAACTAAATCTATACTTCTCATATTTCTTTGCTTAGCTAACTTATACATACATCTTTCACCCTCCTTAGTATCTAATTTATTAGATAAATAATTAAAAGTTAAATTCTTAGCATCATATTACTTTCTTAGACTCTTAACAAGCATCTTTATATCTTTCCAAATTTTTTGAATTTTTATATATTATCCAATTTTTACAACAAATTTTATTTTTTATCCTTTCTTATATATTTTGATTCTACAATCAATTATTTTTACTATTACGAGCTTTTCTTTTGATGCTTCAAGCATATCTTTACAAGTATCACTAATTACTTTTACCCATATAACATTAGCTTTCCTCATATACAGTCAAAATCTTAAATCCTACTCTCAAAAATATTTTTGTTAGAATTTCATAAATATCCCTATCTAATCCTAAAACAATATTTTACTTTATTTTTCATATACAACCCCTTCATATTAAAGTCCAAAACTAATAAGCGATATTAGGTGATGCGGACATCCAACCGTCCATGCTTGTCCGAGGAGGAGCTGAAGATCGACGACCGAGATCACTTTGTTTTATTTTCGTTTATGAAGTGTATTTTAATTTAGTTTCGCAATTTCCCTTTTTTACCCTCTTGTCTTATGTAAGCTCAAGGGGCAAATGTGACTTTTAATTTCTCTTGAGACCTATATATAGAGGCTCATTCTCTTGTATTAGGATGATGATGATGAATGAAAATTTCTACTTTTGATCTCTTTGTGAGTTCATATTTTCTTGATCTCTTGGTGAGTTCAACTCTCCTAGATCTCTGTGTGAGTTCTATGGAAAGCCCAAGTTGAGGGCAAAAGCAATACCCGTCAATCTTTGGAAGAGTCCGAGGTTCGCGGTTCTTACGATCTCTTTGTGAGTTCGTTAGTTATCTTCTATTTTACTCGTATTTTTTATTGTTCATCTCCTTCCTCCCCTCTTCATCCACCCAAGTATTCCCCCTAGCTCCACCTCCTCAACCCACGGCCGACACTCCACCCGACCCCCATTGAAATCCTTGCCTAATTTGGCTAATTTAATCTTTGGACAGATTTTCGAAATTCAAATCCAACGAATTTGAAATTCGAAATCCTTCCTAATTTGTGAAAGCTATTTTGGAAAGTTTTCAAAATCATGTATTTTGAAATTTGAAATCTTTCCTAATTTGTCATTCTATTTTTGGAAAGTACTTAAATCAATTCTTTTGAATTTCAAATTCAATTGGATTTGTTTAATTACTTTCCTAATCCTAAATTTACAATTATGCAAGCATGACCCCTCATCCCCACATTCCCTCTTGCCCATTAATGCCGCCGGCCCCTATATGAGTTAAGTTGGGATTTATTTTGTCATTACTAAATAAACTCAATTGGAAAATAATGCAAATTATTTTTGTTGCTCTTTGGCCGAATTATCCAAGAATTAAACCCTCTTTATTTCTTTCCTATTCCAGGTGGCTGAGTTTAGGAAATCTTGCCAATTAAACTCAAGCCGTTTTCTGAGCCAATTCTCCTAGTGGTCACGTCCAATTCTATTCACTTATTTCAGTTTCCTGAATTGGTTTTAATTCCAATAATCTAACCACAATTCAGCCACCTCCTTAAGCTAACGTCAATTCTGTCCATTTATTCTCAACCTCCTGATTTGGAAGTAATTACAAAATCTGGCCAATTCATTCGCCTCCTCCTTAATTGTTGTGGCTTGGTATTATTTCGAATTTCCATAAGAAACCAATCCACCGAACCTGATTGCTGCTGCTAGTTTTCCCGTTGGAATTAAATCCTAAATTTTCCATCAAAGTATTTGAGGAAATAATTCAAATTCCCTCAAATAATTTGCTGTCCAGTTAATTCCTGTAGGAAGAATTTTTCTCAGCTTGTCTTTTCTCCATCAAGGCTGAAATTTCCCAAGGCCTCACCTAGGCTTGCTGTCAGATTTTTGGAGAAGAGACTGTTCGGGCCCCACAAATCCCCTCTAATTTCTCTTGCTAGCCGAAAATTAATTCCCTCCTCCCGTGAAGCATTCCTTCTACTTGGAACCTGAGAATTTTCTTAGGTTTTGGAACAAAAAGCTGAAGAAAATTTTCAAATTTTGTGAGCTGGGATAAATCCAGATTTCTTTCAGATTTTGCAAGGAACAATTTCAGATTTTGGAGAGGAGATCCTCTCCATAGCAAAGCTTTGCGTTTTCGTTCTACATCATTAGGTATATAAACTTTCACTCGAAATAATTTTACAATCTTTGCAATCTAAACAATCTATTTTTATTATAAGAAAATAATCAATTTGAGTTTTATTATATTCATTCTTATAAGTGATGCAATGGTCCTCTCTTTATCTTAAATAAAATGTTACAATTACAAAATCATAAAGAAAAATTTAATATGATCCTACCACCTTCATTAGTCGCTCCAAACTTACAGCTACCATGAATGCTTTTAAAATCTTCTACCTCTCCACCAATATTGTTATTTAAATCTCCTTCAAAAAAAACCTTCTTTAAGAGGCATCTCTTATATTAATTCTTCTAAGTTATTTCAAAATTTAAATTTTGAATATATATCCTAACATACTTAAGAAGTATAAGCACTTATAATATTAATAATCTTAGCATCAACATCAATCTTTAAATACTTCTATCTCTAATTCTATTAATTTCCACAACATTATCCTTCTCTATAATCATACCTACATCATTTATAGAATGACTCTTACCTGAACATCATAGTTTAAATCCTAAACTACTAATCTCCATAACCTTCTCTCCAACTCATTTAGTTTCCTAAATGCATAGAATATTTTTCTTCCT